TTATAAATTTAATTAATTAATTAATTTGTTAACTATCATTTAATCAATTATTATTATTAATTAATTAATTTAATTAATTATTATTACTTGAATTTTAAACTAACAATCGGTAAACACATATTGACAGTTGAAATGTCAATATTATAATTATCTATCGAATTCATAAATACGGCTTGGTTTTTTTTTTAGCTGAACTTTTGTACCAATTCATCTTTCTTCCTTTTCTCTTCAAGAGGAAAGTAGAAGAAAGATGAATTGATGCAAAATTTTAGCCAAAAAGAACAGGTATCGATTGTAATGAAAATTTATAAAATGCTGTTTTCATATAAAGAACGGAAATGCGATTGGTTGTTGATTCGCAAGACAACAAATGAGAAATGCGTAATTCTTTACAGCTGCTTCGTCGCAACCAATCAGATGAACAATCAACAATTTCGTTAAGCTTCGTTTTCCCTCCAAATTAATAGAAGCAAGTTGATACAAGTTAATCCACGTCATATAAATATAAAAGATCGTACGCCCCACGTGAATGAGACGAAAATCTGAGGAAAGAATGACTTTCCTCGTTGTTAAGTCTCGAACCTGATGAGAGTAGAGATCAAATTACCGTAATGATTAGTAGTAGTAATAGTAGTAGTTCGCAGAATTAAAGCCTCGATTACTGTCGATCGCTGTTCCTGTCAGTGGCATTGTTGGAACCTATTGGAATGGTATTAACACTATTAACGCTGTTCAGATTCAAGGCGCTTTTGTTTGTGGCTTTCGTTTGTCCCCTCCACGTGACTAGTTCAACGATTTTGAAAATTTTGAGCAATTCTGGAGAAAAATCACGTCCTGACTTGCGATTTTTGTAATTCTTTCGTAGTATAATTGTTGTATGTACGTCATATACGATGACGCATTTACGAGGTGAACATTGTGAAGTCTCCATCTCCATTAGATCTGCTAGATAATCATATCAAACCGTCATTCGCGGCATATTTGTGTCGCGTTTGTATCGCAGCACGGTTAGCAGATTCTGTTGTGACAGTGAGATGCTCGAGCTTGCATTGCCACCGCGGCCGATCATCGTTCGGCTGTGACTGTTTGCGAGCTTCTGCTTCTGTCATTCAAATACAATGTCCTCGAAGAATAGATCATCCTCTTCTAAGGTTCATCCTCTAGTCTGTTCCTTCTGCAATTTGGCCGAGGACAATGAATTGGAATATGGAAAGATCTACGAGCATAATGGAATTGTTACCCACTATTATTGTTTGGTAGGTTTGCGATAATAATCTTAAATCAAGACATTAGTTTGATCTCTACTTTTATGAGTGTCCAAAAAATATCTAGGTTTAAAAGATGTCTGTTGTAAAACTTTCATCAAATATTAAACATAAATCTGTTTCAAAAATGTATTCTAATTCAATTATAGAAAATAGACTTTGATACAAACACTACAGAGATAGGAATATCTTCAAAATTATTGTTATATATTTTTTATCTACTTATGCCAATTTCCATCAATATAGATTAACTTTAATCTCTTAAACTTACTTAATTTCAACTTACTGTTCATCTTTTTCTAATTCTAAAAATTAGAAAAAGATTAAGTGTAAGGGCTTTTTCACCAACTTCTAATTAAATCAATTGATGATTAATTTGCAGAGATGCTAACAGCAGTTTAATGTATTTTTTTAGATGAACTGTGTTTAGTTCTCACATTGTGACAGTTAAGTCGATTAACATTTATCGGAATTGATAAAAGAGGCTCTAAGTTGAATCGAGATTAAAGTTAATCTACATTGGAAATCAACATTAATCATACAAATTTTCTTTTAGCTCTTGTCCTCGAACATGGAACAGAAAGGTAATGATGATGAAGGCATACTTGGATTCCTTGCTGAAGATATACAAAAGGAACTTCGTAGGGGAAAGAGATTGGTACATATATTAAAAGTATTATAATGGATGCTTTTCATTTAATGATACATGTTGACACATTCTATTTTTTTTCTTTGCAATCCATGAATAACAAAGATTAAGAACGTTACTTGTGTTGTGACTTGTTTCACTAAATGGAAAGCATCAATTCTATTGTCAAAGTTTCATAATTTTTTGAATTTTCGAGTTAGGGATCTTTCCTTATAAGTTCAAGTTACAATTTTGTAAGTAAATAAAGTTAATAGTAAATCTCATATTCCTTTAATACATAAAAAATATTTTTGTTACGAGTTGAGAATTTTACATTTATATTTTTAGGTATGCTCGTACTGCAAAAAACAAGGTGCTACTTTAGGTTGTTGTAACGTAAGATGCAAACGGATTTTTCATTTTCCTTGTGGCATGAAAGCTGGTTCTCTGCATCAGTTTTTCGGTGAATTTAGGTAAAAGAAAAATACCAAATTGACTGATCAATTGCGATTGCAGTGATCATCGAATAATTTATTTGGAATGTTTCAGATCATATTGCATAAACCACAGGCCGAAACAAAAGATTGATGAACAGGTTCTAAAACAGGCTGCTGCAGATATAATGTGTTATATTTGTTATGATAAAGTTAATACTAATGACTTTGTGAAAACATTATGGGCTCCCTGCTGTAAAAAAGATGCATGGTTTCATCGCATTTGTGTTCAGGTTAGTTTTAATATGGCTTCATGTCATAGTAATATTTTTTTAATATGAATACAGATTTATATATCCAAGACAATCTCTCATTTTTTAGCAACTTGCATTGAGTGCAGGGTATTTTTTCAAGTGTCCCTTATGTAACAATAAAAAAGATTTTCAAAAATCAATGTTAGAGTACGGCATTTTCGTGCCAAGTCAGTAAGTATGGTAAAACAAAATTCAGTAGTCATTTATTTTTACTTTCTTTATAACTTGTTAAGTTTGTAAACTCAGTTGTTGGTGTAAGTTAGTAGAAACTTAACATGCAAAAACTTACTTTTAGATTAATATTTACTATTAGTGCTATATACTAATTCGTTATTTATACAAAGTGTATAAAATACATAACAGCGTATAAGAATTTTTTTTATATAATTAGAGATGCTTCGTGGGAATTGGAACCAAATGCATTTGAAGAGCTTTTGTATAGGCATGATCAATGCGATGCACCGAAATGTCTTTGTCCAAAGGGAAGGAAATATACAAGTACTAATGCGTAAGTAATAGTTACTTATAACGATATTAAAGCTATGTGCTATACAAGAAACAAAATATTTTTGAAATATATAGTAAGTGGGAATTGGCCCTATGTCGTACTTGCGGTTCACAAGGTATCCATATGTCTTGCGGACAGTTGAAGTGGGCTAATCCGGTGTGGGAATGCGAAGAATGTACATCTATATTAAGTAAGTATGTTGTAAAAAAGAGATACATTGTAATTATAACATTTGTCTTATGTATTTTTTTTATAAAGGTAATGATCGTGTAAAACTAGGCAACAGTTCTGCAATAGGCAGGTATGCATCGTGTCTATTTGTTAATCTTACATATCGTAGAAAATTCCTAAAATGTTTATCTTGAATTGTTATAATCGAACAAATAACTTGCACATTTAATATGTCTAATTTATATATCTTTTTTTTCTTTTTTTTAGTACTAGTCAAAATAGGGATTCTGATTCAGATTTAAATTCAGACTCAGATTCAGATTCAGATTCAGATTTGGATAGTGATACAGATATCTCTGTGGGAACTGACTTCCCTATGCCGTGCGCCTTGACCGATTCATCTTCCACTTCTTCCTTAGAGTCTATTCTGGATAATATTAATTTGCGACCTGGACCACGTTCTTTTAAGTTACAACAGCAAATGATCAAACTAGGCCAATGGTTAATAATAACGATAATAGATTATGATAATGATAGAAAATATTTCAATTTTATAGGACATTTGCTTAGATGTAATGTACTATTTTACTTAACAGGTTAGACTTAACAAGTACCGTGCTTGAAAAGAATATAGCTGCTATTGAAACTAGTACAAAAGATGAATCAAAAAATGAATTCTTATTAAAAAATGATGAGAAGAAGGAGCCATTGATAAGTGAAGAAAGTAAGGAAAGTAAAAAAAATATTCTTCAGCGAGAAAGTAAGGAAGATAGCTTCCAGAAAGAAAAACAGTTGCATTTTCAGCGAAAAAATAAAGAAGATAGCCCCCGGAAAAAAAAACAGTTGCCCAGCAAAAATAATGAAAAATCTCAGCCGATTCAGACGAAGACAGATGTTATCATAATTGAAAGCGATGATGATATGGAGGTAAATGATTAATTAATTAGAAAGAGAACAATTTAAAAAATTTGAATTATGCTTTTAATAAATTTATGATTAAAAGCATCGAATTTTTGTTAAATAAAATTATATGCATTATCATAAATTTACTGCTTAATAATATTGATTTAATTTGCTTTTATTACAGCTTATTACATTAACACAAAAAACGAATCTTTCATCTGTACACATGAAACAGCCTACACAATTTAGCAGTTTGTGTCTTCCTAGCACATCAACATCGAAGAAGTTAAATGCAACAGTGGGATCTAAAAGTCAAAATGTAGCGACAATTGATTTATTAGAAAAGGATTATATCGATTTACCAAAACCTATTGCAGAAAGAGCTTCGAAGAAAAACGAATCTATCATCTCCAAGGACCAAATCGATGTACTTACGTCACAAGAATCTACATTAGATCTAATTACTTCAAACGTTATAAAAACGGAAGAAACAAGTGAAACGTCATTTATGAATATCAAAATTACTAATGTTGTTTCTCTGCCACCTGAAGTGTTCGAAAGTGTACCTGATGTTATATGTGACAATATCACATTACATGCTAATACCTCGCCTCTTTCTATAAATGAAACATTAGAGCAACTCGTTACCTCTGTCTCATCGAAGCGTAGCATGCATGAAGGTAATTTATGGAGAGAAAGGAAAAGAAGTTTATTACGGTTATTGTTACTATGATTGATAACGTTATATTATATTTTTCAGCGAATAACATTAACAACTGCAAGAAGATCAAAAGAAATAATTTCGACGAAAGGTTGCACGAAACATATTCTCGAGTCGGAACTACAGTATCTGATAGAAATGAAACAAATAATACTCAAAATGATGCAAAAAATAGTACAAATAATACAGATAGTCTGCAAAGTGAAAGAACATCTGCAAACAAGTTCATTCCACTGTTAAGTAATAATCCAGCAAATAATTTATCTTCACAACACAATTATATACAAATTAAGGCAAATGATGTGCAACATATGAATCAAATTTTATCAAATTTGGAAGGAAATACTGTACATGTTAATCTAAACCAGAGGAACGAAAACCGAGTCACACAAGCAAATACGACAGAATTTGTAACTTTCACTAAGAATAATCCAGTTTTATTGCCAATTAGTAGTTATTACCTTCAACAAATACCGAATTTTACGGCAATTGATCAAAATGATGGAAAAAATGAAACAAACTTGTATGGTGTACCATCGAATAGCATAATTCTACCACGTGTGACAGATAATATCACTGTGCTTAGTAATTCAACAGTACTTAGCAATCCTCTGCTAAATCAACCAGTAATGACTAATGTAACTGCGCCTATTCTGAGCGACAAACGAATAATAACAGTAAATCAACAAGAAGCTGCATCAAGGAAAGATGTACTTTCTAGTACACCTAGTATTGAGAACATTTCCACAAACAAGACGACACACAAGAAGAACGTAAGTAATTCAAGAACTTCAACAATTATCATGTTGAATATCCAGCCGAAAACTAAAAATGTTTTATAAAATGTACATAAAATACACTTCCGGAACAAAAATATCATTATTAGTTATGATTAACGTTAAAATATTTTTATACAATAAATCTTCGTGAAGATATCGCGTTTTTAATTAAATAAAATAGAAATATATTCTGGCGAGAAACATGGTGCGGGGAGTATAAGTTGTTGTAAATCGATTTCCCCGTACCTCTTCTCCAGTGTATATCTTGCGATTCTAACAGTGTGACGGGGATGCAGGCAGACCTGAGACTGAATCTACCAACAATAAGAAAGCTGACCCATCAAATTGTTCCTGCAAGTGAGTACATTTTTAAGTGTTCAACGACCAACTTCGGCCCCTATTGTAAGTTGTTTATACCTAGAAAAAAGTTATATAAATTGAAAAAAATCAGTTTTTTCATTGATTTTTTAAGTAAAAAACCTTTGAATTTATTTTCTCCTCGAAGGTATTTTTATTTCAACTTAAAAGAATCAATGAAAGAAACGAGTTTTTCAATTTATATAACTTTATAATTTACTTGATTTCAAGAAATGACATTCAAATCGAAGAAATTTTTCTCTAAGTGTAAATAATTGACAAATCAATACGATGAAAAAGAATGAAAATTGAATTCTATATATGAATGATAAAAATCTTTTGTGCGTTAATATTAATTTATTATTGTAGTGTCTTCGACAAACAAACCATTGCCTGTCAAAGATCTAACGCAACCTGCAGTGTCTTCCCACAAATCACTAACAACCATGTCACATGTCATCGACCTGGACTGATACCACGTTACGTGAATCTACAGGACCTGAAATTTCGAGTCTGCGCATCGAACAATATTGAAGTATGTTTAATAGATTTTATTGATAACAACAAACAATAAAACCTAAGATACAATTGAGAAGCTCAGGCAATAAGAACAGAATAACAGATTCAAGAACTGTATACTCAAATATAGACGGTTTTTTAAATTTGTTCTCTGTTCCTTGTCTATGATTTGAAATTGTCTTATGTTTCATTTTCTTGTCGTGCGTTAATTTAATTATATTTTTTTGCTTAGATGATTTTATACGATACGTTTTCCGTAAATATTTCGATGAAGAACTTCAAGGAAAGTAAGAGATTGGCAGATGTAGCTGCATCGCGGGAAGCAAAAGAAATGTCTACCATTGCATCTCGTGAAGCTTCGTGCAGTTCAAATTATACCGACAATATTACAACTGAGAGACATTTTCGCTCTTTGAAAAATGAAAATTTTTCAATTAATGACAAAATATACATAGCGCACAGTCAGGATGATGCTAAAGAGAATTTAAATCCGATCAGATCTAAAGTATTATTGCATAACGATACATTAGACAATGTGAACTCGACAAATAATATTGACAGCGCAATGAAAAATAACTGTTTTAAAGTTCACGAGAATGACAGTGAGACGTGTCTCGTTTCAAGTGATACTAATGTAAGTGTATTAAATCGAACAATTTGCAATACGAATGTAGATAATATTGTATCGCTTATTTCGAACCAAGGTTCACGAATTAGTTTAGAAACTGTACAGCGACATAAACAAGCGTCTATAAACAGTGTGCATATAGAAGAAAGGTCCAGGGCTCAACTATTTTTCAAGGAGACTAATAGAATAGTACACAGTGTTGATTTTGATTTAAATGTTAATATGAATAAAAACATTGAGAAAATATCGCAAAATGATATCACTGTTCAACATACTGATAATAAAATTGGTAATGATCATACAGACGATTCTCCGACATTACAGAACGGTTTAAAAAATTTAAATAGTATGAACATCAGTTCGAAGATCAATAACCGGAACGTCACGCGAGTCTCGAATATTACAAAGTTTAATGAACATAGTATTCTAAGTAAGCAGATCGATGCGTGCAATTCTAAAAAGTTCATTCAATGCATAGCGTTTCAAGAAAATACTGTATGTCGTAATGGTGAGACTAGGATAAAAAATAATGAATTTTGTCTCAAAGTGAGTATAGATTTATGTAAGATACAAAATCTAATTGACTCTAAACCGGAATTATTTAAAAATTCAAAGCATAACGCTAATGATCAATGGCATAAGCATACAAATCGATTACCTGGCTTAGATAACTATGTTTGACAATAGGATACTGTGATATTGAGAATAGAAATAGGGTGATTTCCAGCAAGAGACACGTATGATACAGTGTAACACAGTGAATCATTACATTCTTATTATTTGTCAATGTTAAACGAAGATGATCACTATATCATACTTTGTCGCTTATTGGAAAGCACCAATAATAATTATCCGCCTAAAAATAGGGAATTACAGAACTTAAATTACGCGAACATCAAGTGGATGCAAAAAATGTTATCCTCGATGCAAATACGTATCCTAAAATATTAAGTTTTAAATTAGGGATTTAAAACATTTCAAAATACCTCAGACAGAGAGTTAACATGGAGAACATTCTGTATGATAAAAAATATGAATAGTATAAATAAAAGCAGAAAATAATAGATATTTGTTGATGAGTTTTGTATGGTGTTAGAATAAATTGGACAATTTATCGAATTCATTTTCTAATTAAGTTTTATTTTCTATTTTCTGCTAATTTTCTCCTGCTATGAATTATCTATAAAATATAATTGTCAAATTCTATGTATTAATATTATATTAATACTGTTCTTTGATATAAAACAAAATTTATTTTTTATATTATACTAAAATATGTAATTTTTTTAAATGATAAATTTATTTAAATATAACTTTTCTTTTTGTAACATTTTTTTATAACGATTAAAAAATTAAATCCTGCTTCTTAATTTGCTTAGAGAATTTCTATATTTCTATATTTCCTTTTTAGAGCCATCTTGCTATCAAAAATAAAAAAACATGTTATTTTCTTTTTCTTGCAATATATGTCAAAATAATTTTTTTGCAGATTCAATAGTTTGATAAATTGGTATTCAATTGGTATACAAAATAATTCGTAAAAAGCCAGACTATTCATGAAAATATAATTATTAATCTTGTATCCATTTTTATTAGAGATGTGTGATGGATGGTGATACAAGGAAATATGAAACATGAAATTATAATGCGCTTACTATGTACAGTAATAAAAAAAAATATCGACTATTTTAATATAATTTGTCAATTCATCATGTTAAATGTAAATAAAGACATTCCAACAAATTAATTTATTACAATCATGCAAAAAATTTGATTTTTCACTTTCTACTGCTCAGAAAAATGAAATCTATTTTATTTAGAAATTATTCAAGAATGAAAATTCTTTTATTATGGATTTTCATTAATTTTTTAACTAACTTTTAAATTATCTAATATGTACATTACCATACACAAAATATTTTTAATTAATATTGAAATAAATTAAATTTTATCATCAAATGATATTTGCAATTATGAAAACTAATTAGTTAATAGATTGTAAACATATGGTTAGAAGAATATAGAATTGTATCTTGGCTTAAATTTTTTTTATTAAATTGATGTTTACATATTATACTGCTGGATCATCCCCCTTAGTAGTACGTGTATAGATAAGTTGTGCATGATGCTGCACAACTTGCTTGATGAAGCCTTTCTGCTGAAGTTCTATCAGTGCCCGTCTTGCGAGAGATCCCCTAATTTTTAACCTTTCGCTAACAATCGATGGAGTAATCAATTTGTATTGCGGTACTTCTCTCAACAGCTTCTCATATGTGAGTTTGTCGAAGAGTACTTGATTGTTTAACTTATCACGTACTTTTCCTTTGGACCACTTCTGCAAGAATACGAAGAGAGAGAATATTATATCAAAACGATTTTAACGTCACATTAAAAATAACAAGAAAAAAATCTAATTAAATCTCATCAGACTCATTAAATCAGTTTTTACTTCCATAACCTATTCAAGTTGAAAAATGCACATCAAATGAGATTAACTGTTTGAAATTATCTACCATTAGTATTGTATTAAGATATATACAAACCTTCTTCTTGGCCTTTCCACCAGATCCACCCTCCTTCTTCTTCTGTGTTTTCTGAGGCTGTTTAGAAGAACTCTTTGTATCCTTTTTAGGCGGCTATAATAAGATCAAACATAAGACACATTCGAAAGATAAAATTTAATTGTATCCAAAAGTTATGGTCAGACTCATTAAATCAGTATTTTACTGTCATAGTATTTATCTAGAAAATAACTGGTCATCATAAATTTTACCAAAAATATAGATCTATATATATATCCCCAAAACAAAAAGATCTCTTCAATGTTTTGGAAAGGTACTGTCTGAATTATTTTATATATTGTTTGAACTTGTTACTTCTTTAGTATTTTCTTTGTATTTTAAATCGAAAGATTGAAAATATTTTGTATTTAGTAATTCAAATAATAAGATTGATTGTCAATCTTAGTATTTGAAATACAAAATACAATTATGTTTCTTAAATGAAAGTACTTCATTACTTCATATGTCCCAGTCCTAGTAGCAGTGCTATAGTAATAACTCTACCTGAGCTTATTCTCTTTATTGCTTCTTGCACGGCTTATATTTCTTTTTTTCTTTTCATATTGAAGAGAAAGAGAAAATATATACAAAACTCACTTTCAGCTGAGAACAGATCTCTGAATGTAATCCATGAATGTGATATTTAAAACCCAAAGAGAGACTGAAGAGAACGATACGTTTGCATTCAAATTTGTGCAAAGACATTGTTTAAAGTTTATAGAAATATTAATAGACAGGCAAACTTCATTTCAAGCATAAGAAAAAAAGACAGGTTATGTTATCAGGGTATGATAATCTTTAGTTGTTATTTCAATATATTCTTTGAATATACAATCATTATCATTATCTTACTTTAGTATTAAATATTATACCATTATCAAACTAAAGTAAAAAAATAAAGCAAGGAAATTAAATTTGTTGCAGCAACGTGGAGGATCCAAGAAATGCTTTTCGTATGTAAACAAGATGCACCTAGCGTGTAACTCGCAATCTAATAAAAATTTACCATTTTTCACGAGCCTCTCATACTCTACGTAATATCTATGAATCTTTTACGGGATCGCATTGAAAATGTCGCACAGTTAACAACTTACCATGGTGGCTGTCGCGTGAAAAAGAAAAGGGAAATAGACTGTTCGCCATCGTGCGACGTCACTTCCGTTGATGACAGCAATCGTCGCGCCATCTACGTCAATTCTCCCGGCCCGAATCCAGCAACTACATTTACAATTACGTTGATCGAAGTCACGGCGACGTGGACTTATTGCGGGGAGACGAGTCGTCGACGTCGGTTGACAATCATGAGGGGAAACGTTGACTGTCATCGTCGAATTTAATTTCGTTCCCATTTGCGACGCAGCTGGTTCTCGTTCCTCCCGTTCTGCCCGTTCATCGACTGATCGGGATCACGCGGCATGGCCACGCTCCTCTACAGCGCACCTTCCTGCCGCGCGCGATCCAGTTTTCCGCACTTCTGACAGCCGGCATGCAGTACAGGACAGCGGATTGACATCGACGGGACGGATTTGACAGCGCGACAGGTGAGTTTCGCATGGGGCGCGGATTAGGTTAGGTTAGGTTAGAGTATCCTAAACGTTGGACGTGGCCGCGCGTGAACGTACGTATGTATGCACGCACATGTTTGTATGTGTTGCTCCAATTAATGGAACTTGACGCGTGTCAAACAGCTGGGAATACCTTATGTCGACTGGTCTGATTAATCGCTACGCTTTGTCTCTTCGTGCCTGGTGTTGCAGAAGAGACTCCGGGAGTCTTCGACTATTTTGTTGAGACAAATGTGCGTCTGTTCTTAATTTAAAAATTTATGTGATTTCTGAATTTATTTATTACCTCAAGAGCGACATGTCTTATGGCAACATATGTACATATATAGCTATACATTTATTTACGAAAATATAAACGATCATTTTATTATTTAGATTGTGAAAAATACAAATGTTATTTCTGAGAAAAAAGGCACTTATTCGGAATGTTTTTGCTTTAGCGAAGCTTTATTTTGGTGCTTTTGTTATTATTATCAAACTTTTCTCTTGATCTTTGTTATATTTTTTAATACTGAATCTTTACTTTAGTGTCCTAGCTTTATCTTTGTTTTATTTTTTAATACTTCGATATTTTTGTTTTATTTCAAAGCTTTACTTTATCTTAGTATTTTTGTTTTATTTTTATGTCGAAACTTTACTTGCTTTAGGACCGATTATTCCACCTTTTGATAAATTTTACCTGTGAGATAAATCTGGTAAGCCGCGCATGTGATTGGGTAATCTTGCTACTTACCTAACAAAATTTACCAAAAGGTGGAACAATCGGCCTTTAATGTTTTATCTTAATACTGACATATTGTCTTTATTTTACTTTGATACTGATGTTTATTTTTATTCACTTTTTGGTCCATCTTGTCATGACACTAAATTTTCTCCTTAGGACAGATTTACGCCTGTAGAATCAGTGTGATTCCAAGATGCTGCCCCTTTCTCACAGTCCACGCGACTCACGCTCCAACTTCCGAAGTAGGATCAAGGAGAAGCTGCTTAGTTGGAAACGTCTCATCTTCTCTGACCCGAACACTCGTAACTTGTTTCTGTTCCTGATTCTCAACCTGTCCTTTGCCTTCGTCGAACTGCTATATGGAATATGGACCAACAGTCTCGGTCTCATCTCCGACAGTTTTCACATGTTCTTTGACTGCACTGGCCTGCTATTTGGTTTAGCGGCATCCGTCATCACCAAGTGGAGGGCAAACGACAGATACTCATATGGATACGTTAGAGCCGAAGTGTTAGGTGGCTTTGTGAACGGACTGCTCCTATTATTTATAGCCTTATTTATCATGTCGGAAGCAGTGGAACGAGCCATCGAGCCACCGGAGATTAAACACGAGAGGCTGTTCGTTGTCTCTGTGTTGGGATTGATAGTGAATTTAGTAGGAATATGTGCATTTAAACATGGACATGGACATAATCACGGCCATAGTCATGGTCATAGTCATGGTGGGAGGGGACACCATGGTCACTCTCACTCCCAGAATCATGACTACTCTCTCTTGAATCATAACTATGACCATCATGTCGAGATGGAAATGTCCTTCAGTGGTACGAACTCGCAAATTATGAAGGGCGTATTCTTGCACATACTTGCAGACACTCTCGGCTCTGTGGGAGTTATCATATCGGCTGTACTGATGCAAATGTTCGGCTGGATGATCGCCGATCCGATATGCTCTATGCTTATAGCAGTATTGATAGTTTTAAGTGTAATCTCATTGATGAAAGAGTCGTGGGAGATACTTATGCAAAGACAGCCAGTAGCTCTGGATCATGTTCTGTCGCAGTGCTACAATAAGGTAACACAGATACCCGGCGTCTACAGTGTACAAGAACCGCACTTTTGGACCCTGTGCTCGGATGTGTATGTCGGATGTTTGAAATTGGAAGTGGCGAGAGAAGTAGATCCCAAATCTGTCGTGATGACAACGCAAAAGATTTTCCAAGCGGCGGGCGTTAGACATCTCACGGTCCAACTCGATTACGCTCCCATGTGATCTACGAAAAGTATGACGCGCATTGCGGAGTGTTCTTACGAATGTAACGGAAGCGTGTCTAGACTCTGTCAGAGCTGGGAGACAGGGAACACGACGGTGCCGCAGAATGTCTTCGCTACGTCAAAAATCTGTGATTGTGCGCGTTGGAATAGCAATCAGTATCGTCATGGATTACAAATCGTTTGAGGATCATGCATGCCTTAGGAGAGAAGTTACTGACACGGAATGATTGAAAAATAATTCCTAAGAATATTTCTAACCGAATCAAATTACTAGTTAAAACCGTTTCTAAAACACGATGTATGATAAAAGTATGTAGTTCCCATTTCCATATTAGATACTCAGAGCAATGGTCAGTTAAATTCTCTTCTCTGGAACAAATGTCACTGTTTGTTCGTCTTTTATATAAATACTTTACCTCTATCGGAGCACAAGCTCATCTCTATTTGTATGAGCTTTGACTTGTAATTATTCATCATTACAAGCATTTCAAATCCAGGTTTAATTTAGCTATATTGTAATATAAGAATAGCATTGCTTAGATTTTTTATTTTTGCAATGATGCCTTAAGGTACGTTTGTAAGAATATTTTTTGAACAAGACTTCCGAGAGCAAAAGAAGGTGCTGAATCTTATATCTATATATAATTTGTATAATAATAACTAATTAAAACAATTATTATCTCGTTTCAATGGAATTAAATTATCGTAAGTTTGGAACGGTATGTTAGAACAATGCAAGCGGCCATAACAATCTGGAGACAGCTGTAGAGAGCTAGTCATACTTGTGCAAGAAATAAGGAAAATAATGAACAGTAAATACTACGCATAACTTGAATGAATACTTTTACATGAAAATATATCCTTCATTTTTATATAATGATCTAAAAGAAAGATTGCTATTTGTATTTTTTCATCCATGCTAAGTATTACCTTCCTTGTTACTATTAATAATATTTGAACTGTTACTGTAATATGAACAGAAACTTAGCGTGGAACATTTGTTGAATAACCGTACCGGTTATATATGCACAATCTGTTGGACGAATTTATGTAATATTATTTGTATATAATTTATAATTATGTTATTAGGCTAATACCAATTATAGCCAAATAAACAGAATATTGCAAGTTAACGATGTCGAATAAAAAATCGAAGCTTGCGAAAACATCTAATGCCAGGAATTATGAAATATAGATGAGAGAATTCCAAAGTATTTTCTTCCTAGAAAATATATCCTTCTTAATTTATTACAGAATGCTTTCTTCCTAAACACAACGTAAAACTTTTTGGATCCTTGAGAATGTTAATCGAAAAATCATTAAATGCGATATTTCTCTCTAAAACTTAGATTCACGATTAAATAATAGGGGACTAAATACATAAATTTAGAATAACGATTTCGTTACATTTCTATAAAATAAAGGGATCAATAATAGTAAACAATTTTTGCATTTTACGTGTATCATATTAAAATATATTATAATATATATTAAGTCAATATACATTACAATACATATTAATATGGCCGTATAGAAATATCAAAGCATTGATTCCGATTGTGATGAAGCAAGCCAAATAATTTTAACAATTGTATTAAAACAATTGTATTTGAATATTGAATATTGCAATGGAACTGTTTCGATTATTTAATTTTACGAAGAAACATAGTGTCATGATTGTATGCCAGGCGATAATTAATGGCTTTTTTTCTTAGATGAATCGAGTGAGAATATTTGTTGTAGCGCACGAGTTGAGGTAACGCATTATACGTATCTTATTGCGTTTTCCTAATATCCTCATTGTATAGATTATGAACGCAGATTGCGTTGTGATTATTATAAAAAAAAGTAAGTAATAAAAGATACTTGCAATAGGCTCTATGTCTTTTAACAATCTGCTAGTATGAATAATTTTTTACGATTTGTGATAAAGGCTCATTTAATTTATCAATATTGACAACCAGCTACTTATATAAGTTCTGAATGAGTTATACTTTTTAATTTTTACATATTAGATATGGGAAAAAGTTCGTGGCGTTTTTCCCGTTAGATGGCATTAAAAAAACGCCACGAACTTTTTCCCACACCTAATACATTAATTTTTAAATGTACGAGTTTCTTATCCTTATCTTAATGATAATTTGAAGCCTTAGTGGTCGAGCTGGCTAAGACACTCTACCCGAAAAGTTGAGAGATCTCAGATTCGAATGGCTGAGATAATATTTTTCGCAATAAATTTCTTTCTTTCTAATTTAATTTAGGGGGGATTATTAGCGTTTCAGAATGATTGTGTTGAAACCGAATGTTATCGGCTCGCAATTATCTGAAATAAATTAATTTAATAAAAGAATATATAATGTATTATTTATAACATCCAAAATTTGACTGATCTTAGCTTTTTTTATTATTTGATGTATTCACATATACGGTCGTGCTTAAAATTCTAAATATCAATGATAATAATTATGCAGTAAAATAAGTCATGAATAATTCTTAATGTTACAATTTCTTTTGCAAGTTCATCAATGTTTTTTTAAGTGGTTGCATTTGCGATTACCAAGATGAAATTTTCAAACACATATTACATTTATTTGGAGAAGATATGTGTACACATATAAATACATAAATATTTATAATAAAATTACTCAAGTTGATTCCACATGGGTATGTCGGGCGCTTATTTCGCAAGACGCCGCAGATATATCGCTCGGCCAGCGTGTATTTTGTATATTTCTGTTGGATATTTCTCTTTACGTGTTTCTCTTTGTATGTGTATAAGCATGTGTAACATCAGCTTCAGTCTTGCCGAGTGTTGGCTTTCTCATAAAACGGGCTCACAAATGTTTAACAGGCCGCACGATAGTCATCGCGCGGTATAATCGAAGAGACTCTTATGTACATAGCAAACTATCAAAAATGACAAAATTCGTCGTACACACGCTCGAGCGGGAGCACTTACGTATCTAATCGGACAATAAAAGTAATCTTTTATTTGGGGGGGTTGGTATGTTTTGAAAAAACGCGAAAAGGGAGAGAAAATCCTTGATAAGATCATTTCTCCGTAACGCCGATCAAAGATCTGAGACAGAGTGCTTCCTAATTGTTTATATTAATTTTAGGCAATGAATTTATAGAGTTCAGAAAAAATATATGCATATATATAATTATTATTAGATATTTTAAAATATTATTCAAAATGGAATAATATAATTATAATGCACATGTATAATGCATATGTATTTGTATTATAATATTATATATTTATAATATTTCTAAAAATATCTAATAGTATTCATATGAATTTTTTTATCTTGACTTTTTATCTGACTCTAAAAATTCACTTCCTAAAGTACTGATATATAATTAATAATTATCCTGTTGGAATAAAAATTAAAAGATTTAAATATCCTTCTAATATTTAGATCTTAATTTTCTTATAAATTGTCTAGACAATAACAAGTTTTTGATGGTGTAATTTAAAGTAAAACTTATTTTTTCAGAATTTCACTTCTGGAGAATTGATTATAAGGCGTTTAAAGTTAAATATTTTGAAGATACAACAAATTCTTTTAAAAAAGGGCTTATTAATATTAACTTTTTTTATTATTAAATTTTATTATTAAATTCAAAAGACGAAATTAACAAATTCACTAAAATTATAACTAATTTTCTAATAAAAAAAGATTCGAAAATATCTTTTTGCTTGTGTGTACTACATAAGTGCTTAAAAATATTTATATCTCATTTCTTATAAAGTCTAATTTATTTTTTAATTTATTATGTTTATAAATGATGGCAGATTTTTGATCGGCGCTCTGTACAAAACATAATTAGTAAAGACTCCCCCACGTTTCGCAGATTACTCCCTTTGATTTTCATTGGTGGTTCCATTTGAATGGCAGTTATCGTTAGTGTACTGGCGATTGATCAGAATTGATCGATCAAGATCACGCTGGTTGACATTGTTCTCAGCTCGTTTAAAATGCAGTTTATTATAGACTTTTTCGCGCAATCGTAGGAACGACTCTTCCTAAAATATTTGTGTGATGTCGATATCAGAGCTTCCGCATTTAATTAAACGCGATCGGACGACTGTCGATTCACGATGACGTTCGAGGCGATTTTTTTTCTTTTATTATAAGCAAAAATTTGAAAACGAGTTCAGCGCTAAGTGCGGCGCGCGAAGAGCGCGGATTCTCAAGTATTATGCGAGTTGGCAGTCATCTTAATTACAATAATTAATTACTTTATACAACAATAGCTTGCGTCGGGTGCCTGCCTATTATGTATCTTCTATCGCAAGAATTATGAATATTCGAGACTTTCTTTCCTTCCACATCGCCACGGGAACGCACGTACACG